CTTCTTTTTTAGTCTAAACACAATGCCTCCTGGTTATTCAACACTGAATACTTCCTATAAGACATAATCCTTACAGTTATAATTACTGCACAGTGATGTTTACAGCGATGATGAATTGTCCAGTACAATTTAATATGAGGGTGGGGTACAGTGGATACATGGATTAACCACCTTGGAGCTTTTGAAAATTAAATGAAAAATTTAACAAATCAAAATATAGTCATGATGAGGCACACCCACAGCATTTCAATGAGCTTCTCTGGATGTGGAGCATAACGTAAATGCCAGCACCCTTCATCTCGCGAGCAGCTCTGCCAAACAGACTGTGGGGCTGTGAAGCCATCCAACTATGAGTTCAGCTCTCTGATTAAGGATTAGAATTTATTATGTAAAATATGACAGCTCTGATTGTGATGTGAAGACAGACTATCAGGGCCCAATTCTGTTATGTTCAAATGGCAATTAGTCCGCATCCAGCATACTGATGCAGCTCTGTGTGCTCAACAGCTGGGGCATGCTTTTCTCCACAAATGTCATCCATTACCTTTCACATCATTGCTGTTTTTTATAGTGCAGTACATATGGGTATACATACATACATTCATACATATAATAAATATGTATGTAACTAAACAAACAAACAAATGTCAGAGACTGGAAATTTAATGTCTAGCTAGTTTAACACCCTGTCTTATAATAAGTTCAAGGTAAAACTATTCTGTCCTTATCTGATTCTAGGTAAGCATAATGAATGCTTCAGTTTAATTAAATTGAGCCTAAATATGACACCTCAGGGAGAATGTATAGCATAGGGAGAGATAGTATTAGTTTAATTATTTATTAATTAGATTTTAGACAGATGATATGTAATCAGACACAATATAGTGGCATGACACAAAAGACTTTTTTGGTGTGTAAGTGATCTATTCTCCAGGCCTGTAATGATGCTTGCTGAATTTTCAATCTGCAGTCTTCATTTGAGTTGACTCAAAGGTGAACCAAGAAGGATGGATCAGTTATCAGTACATTGTGTACTGTATATTGTTTTTTTTTATGACGTCAGAAGACAGTTACCCCTGCATTACTCAGAACTAGACGGAGCCAACCTGGCATTCATTAGTATAGTAATCCAAAATAATGTCTTCTGTTCTGTTATTACTGATGGCCGTTGAACTTGAGAATAGCAATTGTTATTTCTTTGTAAGTTGCAGAGTGTCCAGAGATTGGATTTAGGGACACATTATATAATCGAGACTGTGTAGTTTTAGGGTTGCCAACTCTATATGCAAGTATCACTCAGATCGCAATTGAGTGACAAAGACAGACTTTACCGAGTCCAGCAGTCACAGATAGACAGAGGTGCAGCTACAGGTTAGACAGCTCTGACCTTTCATACAATCAAAATATAAAAATAAAAACCACTTGGATGACAGTATTCATAGTGCACAGTACAGGAGCCTCGACACCACAAAGAGAGGCAGAACACTGGCGAGGCCAAATCCCTACAATAATGTAATAGTTTTCAGTATAAGTAGCCTAAATTCATTTAATTAAAATTAAATTTTGGGTTCTCTTGCTTTATTGGTGCCACAGGGTCGCCTTCAATTTGAATTCTTCCTGGCATTTTACTTCCATGTGTACAACCCCTAACATCACATATTTTTTGGACTGAATTTTAATTTTTCTGGGAAGCCTAAATCAATTCCAGGAATCCCCCTGCCAATCCGAGGGTTGCCAAACCTATACAAAACACAAGGTTTTGAGAACTGAAGAGACTTGGTAGCTCAGTGCTAAAATTACAGCACATCACTAGTTTTTAATGCAAATCACAATCCAAATCTACAGGGCAGCCTGGACTCACAAACCTTACGATGGAAACAAAAATGATTTCAAAGTAATACAGTTGGTAAGGTACAGTATTAGTCAACTCATATACATTTAGCTACAGTATGTGGATCAAAACCATAAACCCTAACTTGTTGTTCAACACCAGAGTTATTCATGTGTAGGTCTTCTTTTTTGCACATTTTCTGGATGGTTGTGTTTCCATCAGCCATATCAGGTCTCACAAAATTGTAAAGAATGCAGTTCCTGGTTTCTTAGAGGTCAAAACCTCCACTGTGGTTCAAAAGGAGAGCTGGGGTGTATGCATTATGATCATTGTTTAGCTGTAATTACTGTGGATAGCCGCACTGTTACAGTATGATAGCATCAGTACTCCAGCCCAGCATGCACACACAAACACTTGAGTACTAGTGTAATGAAGAGCCACAGCAGGACATGCTATAAAAGGCAGTGCTACAGTCTGCGTGTACCCTTCGTGACACTGTTTTGTTTCTGAGTACCCTCAATATTCAGATGAGTCACTGCGCTTGTCTTTCCAAATCCAGTAACAGTGCAGCCACCAAACTAATTGCTTCTCTGACACACTTCCCCGGCATTCTGTTTAATATGTATGTAATAGTTTAACATATTTTACACAGGCAAAACATAATTATATTAAAATATATACACCTTATGTTATGGTACTGTTCCCAACATTTCATTGTTCCACTCAGTATGTTACCAAGAACACCTTAGTGCATGACCTTTGGAAGAGTGATCTAATATTAATACTGGATTAAGTTGCCTGCATGATCTTTACATTATGTATGAAACTTGATTCTTGGGAATAAAATATTTCTGTTGTGTTAAAGGCAACTCTATAACAACAGCAATATTGATGGTAATGTTTTATCTATTATGAAGAGGTTCCTCAGTAACTAGTTGTGATTTTTATCTAACAATGGTAGACAAAAAAAAAACATATTATGGGTCTCTAGAGCACAGCATTAGTGCAACACTGATGTAAATGTTTATGTGCATTAGTTTCCATGATGGCAAAATGCCAGTTGTGCTTTTGTTGGATATTTGAAAAACTGACATTGGTAGCTAATGGGTATTTCACTATCACTAGCCTGAAACGACTTGAATACAATCTTACAGTCTGGCCTTTAATGGACAGTTTTATGGATACAAGCAGTGTCAACCAACAGGGTCTTAAGCCTTTCAATTATGAAAAATTATTTGTCAGTTAATCATATTTCATATGAGCTGGCATTGCATACTGTATAGTCAGCTCATATGCAGCATGTGAATAGTTCCTCATATAATCCCTCAATTACCTCCAACCTCAATTGCCAAAGGTAGCCTATACTTTTTGTAGCTGTTTTTCCCCATCAGCCACCCTGAGGTGCAAATCATATACACAAATTACCATATTTCAAGTAGTTTATCTAGTCAGAGCAGAAACATTTGTGTTGTGAGTGAAAATTTGCGCATATGATGAAACAAATAAGTTAAGATGCAAAACCACTTATGTAAAAGTTTCTAAAGAGCTCATTTGGACAGACACATCACTTTAATTGAGGTTATTATGAACAACACTGGCAAGGAGTCTGATTGAAGTTGTTTTAAAGCTCCTACGCTTGACGTGTGTTTTTGATTGCACTGGTGGCTGTGTTGCATCTGTGTGGTGACTAACTGGCAGTGGCAGAGATGGCAGTGGTGGTTCCATTTGTGAGAAAATAACTGTAATTCAAGCTGGGCTCCTCCAACCACATCTACTGTTCTGTAGTATTTCCTATTTTTCTTGCACCACAGCTGGGGCACAGGATAGTATCCAAATGCAAATACGGCCCATAGCTTCTTCCACTGTCTATCATCGGGAGGCTATGCACATGGTGGACTTTGAAGTGGCAGAGGCAAGAATGCAAATATTTTATTATGACTGGTAAAACTGTTAATCTCATATGGCAGGTTGATGAAAGCCTCAGTGAGAGAGCCTCCCACTTGTGCCGGTTTTGTCCATCATACTATTGCTGGTTTGCACAGCCTTTTGTGTAAGTCAAATTGAAAGGAAATGGAACTGAAAGGACTGGATGTTGGCAGTGTGGGAGGAAAAAAATGCTGGAAGTCTTCATAAAAATACCCAACACATACATCATACAGCATTTGCTGGGTGAAAACACTGAATGTCAAAAGTGTCTACTTTGAGGAAAACAAAGAAAATGCACCCTCACTGATTTTTACAAAACAATAGAAAAAGTATATGCCTAAAACAACAGTCTGCATTTCTAGTTGTTTTATTTTTTACATATTGTTCAAAGGTAAAGTTCTTGTGGGATGAGGCAAGAGTCATGATGGTTTGTGTCATCTCCAGCATGTCCTGTCCATGCATGTCCCTCCATCACATCCCACAGCATGCTATTTGAGGCAACAACCAAAACTGGAAGGCTGCTCTATGTGGTGATGTGCCAAGCTCAGTTGTGTATGGTGTTGAGGCGAACTGCAGGGCATGTGCCTGTAAATGAAATCTGAGGTTGCAGTGAATGGAACTGAGCAGGGAAATAACATGACTAGAGATTAGACAATTTATTGAACTTTCTGACGTCAGCCTAATTTGTTTAAACGTGACAATCTCACTTTACAGTATAAGTGAAGACAACTTGCTGTGTTTCAGAAATATCTTTTCATTGAAGAAAGTGTGGGATGTTTAAATAAAACCACTTTGTATCTGTAATTAGTTTACTGTAAGAGACAGGACAGTCATCACTCCGTAATTTCACATTAGAGAAGAGAAACCACCTTCTTCACTACGAAGGTGGTGAAGAAGGAGCTGAGCTGTAAGGCGAAGCTCTCGATTTACTGGTCAATCTACGTTCCGACTCTCACCTATGGTCATGAACTTTGGGTCATGACCGAAAGGGCAAGATCCCGGATACAGGCGGCCGAAATGAGCTTTCTCCGCAGGGCGGCCGGGCGCACCCTTAGAGATAGGGTGAGGAGCTCGGTCACCCGGGAGGAGCTCAGAGTAGAACCGCTGCTCCTCCACATCGAGAGGAGCCAGCTGAGGTGGCTCGGGCATCTAAAACTGGAGGAAGTGTCTGGAGAGAGGGAAGTCTGGGCATCTTTGCTTAGACTGCTGCCCCCGCGACCCGGTCGGATGGATGGATGGAGAAGGGAAACCAAACTTTTGATTAGTGTTGCTGGCTTGCTGCGTACAGCTTGTGACAGTACAATGTCGTCATATCGATTACCCTACAGATAGCGGAAATGTCAAACTCTTGCACTTCATTGCAATGGGCGATAACATAAGTTCTTCCTTGATTATGTGGAGAGGTAACCTCATTACAGCGAGGCATTACCTCACGACACGGGCAAATAATTCATCAAGTATCCAGGCAGCGTTCTGTGAAGAGCGTTGTGCGCTCTCTCGTGGATTTTCTTGGGCATTGTGATCAGCTTCAACAGAACAGCGAAGCTTTCAGAGAATGTATGGGGGTATTGAATGTAGTGGCCATTCGCCCGGCACCTGTTGCTGGCTGATTATTTTCAGCACCGGTCTATTAAGGATTTAACGATCGCATCCTTTCACCTCGCATCAGGACCATGTCGGAGGAGCAAACTGATTCTAACTCCAGCGGGTACTATTTTGACAATGCCTCAAGTAGAGGCCAGAGCAGCTTCGTCTTTTCAAGACCCATATATGTCATTTTGATGGTGATGATGGTAACTTTGGTTGTTGTGATAGTTTTGGGCAACGCATTGGTCATACTGGCTTTTAAAGTGGACAAGAGTTTGAGAAGACAGTGCAATTACTACTTCCTCAATTTGGCAATTTCAGATTTTCTTGTAGGTAAGTCCAACCTTTTTATAGACCCTAAAATAAGAATAATAGAATAAAGAACACAATAAAGTGTAAAGTTCTTAGGATGGACCCGTTACTTCTATCACATAGGATATTTTCTGCATGCACCATATATGACAGGTACATTTTTGAAAATTTTAAAGTAGGCTATAGTTAATGCTGCTGTGTATATGACAAATTTCCTTGGACTGTAGATGTGTATGACCAAGTATAGTTGTTGAGAAGGCCTACATTCAAAAATTAAGCAGATGCAAATTACTTCATCTGATGAGAAATAATTACATGACAGTCATAAAGCCTCAGCTGCTCCATAGTTCTATTGCCTTTCTTAGTTTTTTTTTCTTATCTTATTTATAATATTAATTTATTTATTTTTGGCAATGATATTGCTTAATTTTTGCAAACACGCAATCTTTCCATAATCTGTATTTCACACGAACACATCAATATTTGTCCCCCTCCTTCCTTTAAAGTTCAGTAAGATAAATACATTTTATGGTAGCACATTACTTTAACCCCTTTATTTAGCATTCATCAGTACTATACAAACATTTAAAACACAGTTTATAACAAGCTATGCTGTTAATACATATATGAGCTTTGATCTCTTTCCAATATATGCTTCTGTAGGGGCATTCTGCATCCCAGTCTACATCCCCTACATCCTCACAGGCAGGTGGACACTGGGCCGGGGACTGTGTAAGCTGTGGCTGGTCATGGATTACCTGCTTTGCTCTGCATCTGTCTTCAGCATTGTCCTCATCAGCTATGACCGCTTTTTGTCAGTCACCAGAGCAGTGAGTGGAATGTCTTGTGGCTTTCACCTATATGCACACATCTTTGAAAGTGAATTTAATATGGTGACACAACAGCCTGCCATGTTTGTAGAGGAAAACGGAACAAAACTAGTACGTTTAAAGGAAATCATAAATCGAGATCATCTTCCCTTCTCAGTTTTCACTTAGGCAGAAGTAATATTTGTTTTCACAGCTGAGCAAAACATTTGAGGTATAATATAAAAATATGAAGAGCCCTTTCTCTTGTAGTTACTGCTTGTGGTCTGTGGCTTAATTTCTGACTGGTGAGTCTCTCAGGTCACTGGTAGGGGCAGTGGCACTTCATTCTCCCAAGTGTGCCCAGATGCAGAGGTTAATCATTCCTGACCCATTCAGGCCCAGTGCCACCCCTAATTATAGTCATTCCCCATGACAAAGATAAAAAAAAAAGTCACATTTCAACTCTGAGACAGACTGAGCTTCACAAAATATGCAGAAAGCAACACATGACAGTCATAAAGCCATACAATCTGATGCTAAAACTTGAATTACTGTGTACATCATCAGTAATATCAGTGTTCATTTTTTTGCCTGTTGTGGCATGCATCCACTGTAGCAACTAGCTCACACTTACAAACCTCTGCAGCTGGAAGCCCCATTAAAGCTTTTGCTAGGGCTGGTTTGTGCATTAGCTGGCTGACCGTATACATAGCAGACAAAGACAGTGTTCTGTTTTCTTTCACAAACACTTAACATCAGAGCAATGAATACAAATAACACCAGAGAGAGAGAGCGAGAGGGAGGGAGAGAGAGAGAGAGAGAGAGAAAGAAAGAGAAAGAGCCTCTTCTTTAATTAGCTAACTTTGATCATAGAGATCCTCCTCTGTGCCATGGTCCTTCTGACCTGGAGAGATCAATCATAGCAGAAACAGACCATCAGCAGCCAAGCAACATTTTCCTAAAAGCATTTTTCTGAACACTGAAAGACAAAGGAGTGTCAGCAACCAGGGGACAAAGTTTGCCTTTGAAGAGAAAGGATGGCGTCAGATAAAATGCATATATGCGTCAGTTAGATGAAATGTCAACACATTAAAAAGACATATTAAAAAGAAAATATATAACATTTCAAACTGAATGAATCTGATTTGCCTTTGTTGAGTGGGGCGTCATTACATGAAGCAGTGATGAGAATTTTACAAATTACAGTTAATTTCTTGTCATTCAGAACAGTGACATATATTCAGAGCAACTGTA